TTTATAAAATATAATTTATTTTCGTAGTTATTAACCGAATCGAACCGAGATATTAACCTAGTCGAACCGAACCGACTATAGTGGTTATGGTGCGGTTATGGTATGACAAAAAATTTGGTGGTGCGGTTATGGTTTTGGCCGAACCGACCCCGAACCGAACCATTGTCATCCTTAGTGAACTTAATATAATCAGATATGACAATTGAAACGTGATGATCAACACGGCCAATGAGCACAATCCGTGTCGCGTTGGGCACATCACTACATGCACGGGAACAAGTCTAAGCTACTCGAGTTGGATTTACATCTCTAGTCTAACATTATAGATTGGTGTTCAAGTAATAATCAAACATTGTTGTATTCATCTCTACCAAATTTTGAATTTTCAAACTTCTACAAACAATAATGTATTGAAGTTTGAAGTTTTTATTTTTTAATTTTTTAAAAGTTGAATAACTTTGTCCCTTCTCCAAATGCTGATTTTTGTATTATTGCTTAAAACCAAAGCATGAATTTGGACACAAAAACGCATTTTTATTTGCCGATCATTCCTATAAAGTCGCATTATACGGCCCCACATAAACCATAAAAAACAAGGACTTCCGACCACAACACCTAAATGTCGCATATTCTGGCCCACATTGATATAATAACTATTAAAAAAAACACACACACACACTGACTTCGTCAACAAGTATGACCCATTCATTGCCATTCATCGAATGGCATCATCAAATAATAAAAATTGTCAAATAAACAATTATATCCTGTTTGGTTTAGATTAGTTATTTAATAAATTTTAATAAAAACTGATGAAAATGTGTCACATCATATTTTTAAGCGAAAATAAAATCGAACTTCATAAAGTTAGACCATCTAAAAATCATATGAAATAATGTGGCTAAAGATTTTGAGCGGTTCCCATTCTTAGATATTTATCGAGCAACTACGATAAAATATACAGATCAACAAACTTGCTTTTAAGGATTTGGACAATTTGCTATTCTGATATTTATTTTAGATTAAGGGTAATGCTACCTAACACTCGTGATTCTAGACGACAATAAGGTTCATCGCTTAGATGGGAAATTATTTTTGTTATTCATTCAAAGTTAGCATTAATTTCAACTATGCATTCACTAATTACTCATTTATTCATTACATATTCTATAAAACTTAGGATCTGTTTGATTGTAAGAGTGAAATTTGGATGAAAAGAAAGCGAATTATAGGGAATTGAATTGTCTAGAATTGTTTTCTTGAAAACTGTCAATTAATTGTATCTGATTGGTATAAATTTTTATTTGAAAAATGTTGAAATTTTGAATCTTTTGGTATTCGTTTGACTTTATTTTCCATGAAAATTGTCTATTAAAAGGATTTTTTTTTTTTTTACAATTGTCCATAAAATTTGTTTTCATTGCCAAAAAAAAAAAAAAGTCAGAAAATCATTTTCCCACCAAATTGATGAGAAAACCAATTCATGGAAAAGGGATCGCGTGGGGGGTTCCATGAAAAATTTTGACTATCAAACATGACAAAAGTAAAAAATCCCATGGAAAAAAAAGGCGTATCAAACTGGCCCTCGATGTTATTCATCCTAGAAAGTCAATAATAATTTTATCCAAACACTAAAAAATATACCTAACCAGCCTACCATACCTCCCCCACCTACTTAAATGTTGGTCCAATATTTCTAACCAAAGGAAAAAATATCTTCGCGCTCTCTATGCATCACCATCACCCCATCACCATCACCAACTGCAATCCATCAAGAATCATATATAGATACACACACATACATACATAGAACTCGTAGAATGAATCTCAATAAACAATATAGAGAACTTTAAGAGAAGAGGAAATATATGTAAAAGAATAACAGAATAGAATCATAAATTACGTAACCATTGTCCGGGATGAACTACGTTTCTTCAATACAGCCCAGATTACAATTGAAAACATCTGCTGTAATAATCAATAAATAACTAAAATTGATTACACTTTTGGGGGAAAAAAAAGAAAGAAAGAAACAATTTTAGCCAAGTCTTTGAAACTGCATTGTTGCTATTCCTTTCTCCATTTCCCCTCCCCAACCAGCAAAAGAAATTATGCGAAAAAATGTATTCCTAGAAGTCTTGATTGTCTCGGTGAAAATGAAATCAAGTTATGTTTACTAGGCTACAAGCTGATCAAGTTGCATCTGCTCGAGCAAAGACCCTAAAAGTGAATGATCAACTGAATCGATTTGAGAATTGGATTTTAAACCCTCACCAGATGGCGCGTTACCGGAAATAGGTGCAGCATGTTTCACCATCATCTCAGGTGGAGATTCTTTGACAAGAGAGTGCACCCAAGAGAGGTCAGGCTCCCCTCCATTGTTATTATTTACTTCATACGTAGATGATCTTTGTAAACAACCCAGATCATCACTATTGACAGACCAATCAACTTTTCCATGAGGTGATGATCCCCATTTAGAGCCAGTGTTCACAGGAGACCCTACGATAGAGGCAAAGTTGGATCCAAGCTCCCGGGAGCTGACGCTGCGTAGATGCTGCAGCTGCTGCATCTCGTGCTGAGCAAAGGCAGAAAAGCGAGTATTCCTTGGGGAAATGGGCTCCACATTTCGTGGTGACATTCTTGGAGATGATATACCAAAGGAGCCCTGAAATAAGGGGTGTTCACCATTTTTAGGAGAAAAAACATTACCATTCATTGACGAAAGCATGCTCTGCTGCTGAAATGGATTAAGAACAGCTGATTTGTGCCTTGGAGAGAGAATCCCAGAAGACACTGCCTGATCAGAGTAACTAGGAGACAAGGAGACCTCAGCTGAAAAGAGCTCGTCAAGATTGGAAGGAGTTAAAGCCATAGACCGTCCAGAACGATTCAAAGAAGCAGAATTAGAACGTGATTGTGCAAAAGAGGCCAAGTCATTCATAACGAGTTGTTGAGCATCAAAATCCTGCAACATGTCCAAATCCTCAGGTGGAATATCCCGGGCACTAAGGGAAGATCTCAGCCGACTTGATTGGAGATTACTTCCAGGCAGATGAAGGGTTGGAACATTTGGTTGGGGCCAAGCTCCAGCTGAGTGAGACATTCCATTTGCTGTGGGGGACATGGGCTGATTAAATGCAGGAGAAATTACAGTGTGTGATGAGGGTGAGCCAGGGAAAAGGCTAAGAGCAGCGGCCATATCCATGACACTTGCAGCTGATGCAGCTGACCTCGGAGAAGGAACAGTAGACCCAGTGGAGATGTACAAGGGGCGAAGCTCCTCCGGTGTGTGAGCAAAGAAACACACTCGTCTTTCACAGCTCGTGCCATCCTTGCATAGCCTTGTTCGGTACTGAGCAGGGTGTAGCCAGCACTCAAACACGCCATGCGCATACTCGCACATGTCACCTCGCCTACAAACACCCTTGCGAAATTCAGGACAAGGAACACAGCTGTAATGGTACTTTCTTGGATCTCTTCTGCGAGCATTCTCTCCAGGATGGACAAAAGGACACTCAGTCCAATCATGAGAGTAGGCCCTTGAACAAGGACGGACCTTGAATGAGAACATACGAAACTCATCAGTTGAGTAGATGCTGTTCTTGATGTCAGGAAGAGATGGATCAACTGGATATTCTTTCTTCTCTGATGAAAAATTAGAAGGAACATCATTGAACTTTGATGCCATAGGCGATGATACTGAGTCTGATGGTGGTGAGCATGTCGACCTACAATCTGGTGAAGAAGACAGAAGGGGTGAAGATGCATTTGAAGTAGATACGGATACCTGTAAATTGCAATCGTCAACTAATCCACCAGAACAGATGTTCATAAGCAATTCCTGAAGAGCAGCTCTAGCACTCAGAAGCTTTGGATGACATACAATCACATCAACTGGGCGCTCGCCGTCCGAGTTCTCAATGTTTGGATCAGCACCAGCTGATACAAGCAGCTTAACAACATCCAATGCATTGATAGAGCCACCAGATGCAGCACAATGAAGTGCGGTACACTTGTCTGGCCCACAAGATCGATTTAAATCAACCTCACACTGAGCAACTAACAAATTCAACACATCTACACTGCCATAAGTAGCAGCGACCATTAACGGGGTTCTTTCCTCATGGACAATCTGTTTTGAACCCTTCTTGCGAACGTACCACAGTCCAGCCTCATCAATTCCGGAAGAATCATACTCAATGGATCTCTTGAAACCAACAACATCGTTATTAGCAGCAAATTCAAGTAAACTGGAAAAAGAATCATCAGTCTCTACAGTTAGTTTCCTCGTATCCATCAGATAACTAGAATTGGTAGCAACGATAGATGGAGAAGTAGACGAATTGGATTTTGATTGCCCTGGGCCAGTGCACATCAGCACATGCTTCAATCAACTGCAAGTCAACCAAGCAAATCCTTAATCAGGTCAGCAGCTACCATATCCCAAAAAACAGCAACCCCATAAAAAAAGATCTCTTCCCATAAGATCTTAGGTATATTTTTATTCAAATTTTCAGCATTAGACACGACAATTATAAATAGCAAATGCGAAAAAGAAAATTTTGTGCAACTAAACACTAAACACAAGGCTCTCCTCCACAAACTGTCAAGAATGAGATTTCTCAAATTCATACACACTCGGAAGACACTCAGATGACTTTTGAGAACCCTTTCATAATCATAGAATGAAGGACAAATCATAAAAAGTTTTTTCAAATAGTTTTCCAACATACTATACTACCAAATTAGACTCTTAAACAATAAAGAGAGTTCATAAACAGAATTGTTTCCCCTCATATATGAATATTAAATATTCAACTCTATTTGATAACTCTAAAATAGACTCGTGCAATCCAGAAGGAGAATTCACTGATTTACCACCTGATATGACAAACGAATATTGAAATTCGTATTAAATGATTAAAACGGCTAAAGAATAATTCCATAAGAAAAAAAATTCCAGACAGATGAACATTATCACTTACAGAATCATGCTTTCTACCCTAAAAATCTTTCCATAATTCACAAGACATGTCTTAAAGAATTAACAGTAAAGATGAACAAAACAGTAAGAAAAAAATCAACCAGAAAAATTAAAGTCGACCCAACTCCCTTCGGTAGCTCAAGCACAAAATCACCAAAATTGAAAAACACTGACCCAACTAGCAAAACTTACAGATGGTTAAAAATGGAAGCTTTTCGCATAGATCTGAGGCCTGTATTACTGGATCATTAATTCATTCACCCATCTCTTGCTTCAAAAATAAGCAAAGAAAGCGAAGAGGATAGCAAATTGGCTACCAAATATAGTGATCTCCAGGGTATAAATGTAGAATTCACAATTAAATAGAGAGACGGAGGCTGAGAGTCACGTACCCATGTATATGTATATATACACACAAGGGTGTATCTATAGGAAGATAGAAGTGGATAAAAAGAGGGACCTGGTTGCGCTGTAGCGAGAATTTTTTAACATGAAATTGAAATGGAGATGAAATGGAAACTGAAATGCAAATTGAAATGACATTGAAATTTACACGAAATGATGTTGAAATGCGAGTTAAATTTGAGACTTTTGAAAGTGGGAGAAATAGGGCGCGTTTGGCCGGTGGAGGTTGGCCCACACTTTTCTTACCAAAATTTTCTGCCATTCAATCAAGCATTTTGAAATAATAGATAGAGAATGTATATTTATAAAATATTTTTTTTTTGAATTTACGTATATTATTATTTTAATGAAAAATATGTAGCTAAAAAAGAAGAGGGAGAAATTTTTTTTTTTTTTTTTGAAAATAATAGAAATCAAACAAAGGCTATATTTGTAATTTCCACTATATTATTTTAAATGGATAATTACAATGAGTCCCTCATATTTTGAAAATGTAGCAAGCAGGTCCTCAACCTATTATTTGATAGTCGCAACGCAATTTTTCAATTTTTCATTTCAATAGAAATTGAAGACAAAAACCCATCAAAAGTAAAGTATCATCTTCCATCAATCCGTTTTCTCAGTTCTTGTGTCTTCAGATGGCCACATAATGGTTTTCCATAAACCTTCCTCTCATCAACTTCAAGTTCTCATCACACAAATTTCTTCATATATATATCAGGATTTCTGATCTCAATCACCACAAGAAGAAATCAATATTATTATTAGTTTCCACATTTATCGAACCACCTCGTCTAAAACTTTAAGATATTCCACTCCAGATAAAATTTGTCTACATTTTCAAATGAACCATAGTCATGCAAGGGTCCGTATGCTCCAGTTATGCAATCACTCGTTTACCAAAATTATGTATGTGACGGAGTTTTGATGGAAAAATATATTGCCTTATGCGAAGGCACGGTTAATTTTACGTGCATAATTTTCACAAATAGGTTAGTTATGCACAGATAATTGGTGGGAAATATCTCAGCAAGTGAAATAATTAACCATTGGTGTACCTTAATCCATCTTGCATGTAGGATAAGACGTGTTGTCATTACTCTTCCAGCAAGTTCCCGCCTTTCCTATAAATATCAAGTAAGTGCAAAAGACTTGCATGATAGGTTGAAAACTACATAAACATTTCTGAAAATGTTTGATTAATGAAGAAAAAATGTTCAAATCTCTTGTCCTTGGTCCTTCATAGTTTTGCCTAATATTACGCAACAAATATGTCCTTATTGCATTTTAAAAGTATTTCATACGTTGAATAGGATTGCTTAAAACTTCTAGAACATCAGGGACGTGTTTGAAATGCTAGACAGTATTAATTGGATTGCATTAAACAAAAGAAGTACGTAATAATATTTCTCAATTGTCACGTCTAACGAGCCTAACACGTCATAAGCGTGTTTGGAAGAGATTAAAATCGAATTAATATTGAAAAATCAGCTGTTATTGTTGACTTTTATTAGACGAGTGGGACCCAATAACGACTATATTTTCAATTTTAATTAGATTTTAAGCACGATCGAACACGCCCTCAAGGGAAAAACTCTATTTCATGGCTCAAACAGTAACAAGAGCTATGAAGAAGATTTGAACTCTATTTTTGACTATTTACCTTTGCAAGGGTATGAAGAAAACACTTTCCACTATTGGGTATGTTATCTGCGATAAAGCTATCAGAGTGAAGCAAACTAGGAACGATTCCAAACGCCAAGTAATCAAATAAGCCTTTGCTTTTGATAGTCGTAAAAGATAATTCGCACCAACTTTTGTAAATCAAGTGCTGATAAAAAGTCGGGAAAAAAAAATGAAATTATATTTCAATTCAGAAATTCGATATCTGAATGCTGAATGAAGCTTTGAATCAAAGATCACACAATCAATGGGATTGTATCGCTTACTAGAGTAAATAAGTGTATTGTGGTGGATTCATGATTTCACTCATAGAGTTGCTCAAGAACATTCTTTACAGCTTTAAACGCGAAGCAGTTAATTATTTCTTGTAAGCAAAAGACATTCGAATACTCAATATCGTTTACTTTCTAATGACATCAACATTATATAGTCTCACGAACATAAAGGAGAAATATAAGGGAATTTATACACTTTGAAACTTAAAGTTTTATTAGTTGAAGACATTAGTTAAAGATCAATGAAGACCGAACAAGATTTCATTGATTCTGTCTTCTTTTTATTTAGTAAAAGGTCCCGACAAGAAAATAATCATTTTATAGTAACAAGCAATTGAGAACCGATAGTTCAGATGCAAGAATGGAACTGCATAGAGTGACGGGACGTCTCTAAGGGTGGCGTCCTCTCTGAGCGTGCGATTTCACCATTAACAAAACGCACAAGACAAGTTTGGCACACTTAACTGGATAGAACTAAATGCGACTTATGTTCTTATCATACAAAGATATAAATGTATACTGCAACATAGACAAGTAAAACTGAATTAAATCAAACTCATAATTATATGAACCTAATGACTATATTTGTCCTTTGAGAAAAAAATTAAACTGTTCCCTCTCCCATGATTTTCTCTCTTATGAAAGGACCACAATCACGTAGGAATTGGCAAACAAAACTGTCTTTTTTTTTAACCAAACTTTGATGCAGAATAGTTTTATGCAAATCAAATAAATTATTTGCATGAAAAAAAAAAGTATGAGACCATCTCCAAGAAATTCTCCAAATGTAAAATGTTCTTTATTTGGTCCTTAAAAATAAGATTCAATAGAATCTTTATTTGAACATTTTAAAATAGATTTAAGTTTGACTTTTCAAATTTGGAAAGCTATCTATTTTTTACTTTAAAATCAATGCTTATATTTGAATTGATTGCCCATTAACATAAAAAATAATGTTAAGCCCCAGTTTGAGCTCCATTCTTTAGTTAATATAATTTTTATTTTGAGGAAATTACATAATTCCAGGTATTTAAATATCACAATTCAAAAATCAGGTATAAATTTTACTTATTCAAAAATCAGGTAATAATTTTATATTTCAAAAAATATATTAATATTAAAACCCTAATAATTATTTCATTTCCGTTCTCTCTCTAAACCATTCCTTCTCTCTCTTCTCTATCCCTCGCCTAACAGTCCTCGGCTGAAGACGAGAAGGCGCCACCGAAAGGCGCCATCGTGCAATGCGTGATGAAGCCGCTGTAGTAGTGGCGCTGTGCAGAGGCTGCTGCAAACTCGGTGGTCCAACTCGACGAGACTGTGTTTCCAGGTCTTGCAAACTCGACGAGGCTGTTGCGAACTTGCAGCGTTTCCTGATGGTGCACCCGCCTCCGCCGCAGAAAATTGCCTTCTTTACCGTCGGAAACCAACCGTAATAGGACCACCCCGCAAACAATCGCGAATGGTGAGTTGGACTCCTTCAGATCTATCAGATCGCTAGTCAAAAATTATAATCGAATGCCCAAATCAAACCAACCCGAGATGAGTTGGGCAGCGGCATTTGGTGGTTGTGGTGTTTTCAGTTTGTAAATAGTTGTGTTTTAGTGGAGGTTATCGTGGTGAGAAATGGTGGTGTTGTGGTTGTTCAGTGGTGGTGGTGCGTTGATAATTGTGCAGGTTGCGGGTGATGTCTGTGCTGTTGAAGGGATAGGGAGGGTGGTGGATCTAGTAGCGGGTATGAGATTTTTTTTTGTTGGTTCTGGTGGTGACGACTTTAGGATTTTTTTTTGCTAGATCTGGTGGTAATGGCTTTGTTAGTGGTGGTGCTGTTGTGGTGGCGCCGACGCTTATGGGGTTAGCGATGGATCTGGTGACGACGACGGGTGGTGGTTGTTGGTGGCCGGAGATCTGGTGGTGATGATTTTTGTTGGCGATGTCAGTATCAATTGG